GAGGGTCTGGCGTGCTCTGGTCCATGGGGTCACGAAGAGTCGGACATGACTTAACGACTAAACAGCAAAAGTGTCAGGAGTGAACCTACGCATCTCTCTCTCTCTCTTTGTGTGTGTGTGTCCCAGCCCCTTGGTTTAGTCTTTTTGAAAATATATTACACAGTTCCTCCTCTTTGTGTTTGTTCTTCTTCAGCCCCCGTGTAGCCTTTAGTCTACTTTCAGTTACTTATAGAAATCCCGTGTTTCTAACAAAGGGCTATCCATCTCATACGGTTTAGAGAGAATTCCACCTTCAGAAAGTGTGTGTGATTTATTTGTGATTTAATCTAACTCTATCCTCCCTTTTGCTACCAGATCAAAATTTTATAGGATCATATGTAATGAGGAGTATCTTTTAATTGGCATGACACACTCTGATTAGAGATGGGCACAATCAGCTGAACTGCTGGTTCGTGCTGGTTCATTTCTCCGCCAAACAGGCATTCGGCGCTTCCGAGTCCTGATTCCCCCCCCCCCGGCTGCTGCCCTCCAGTGTGGCAGTTCATGCTCGTCATCTCTAACACGGAACAAATAATNCCGGCTGCTGCCCTCCAGTGTGGCGGTTCATGCTCATCATCTCTAACACGGAACAAATAAGTGGTTCACACTCAAACATCTCTTTCAACACAGGCGGTGGCCTCCTTTCGTCGGAATCCTTAAGCCTGAGGACCAGACCCCCTCCAAAACAGAGTTCTTAAGTCTCCCCAACAGAATACTGCAACAAGGATAGATTGAAAGCCTGAGGACCAGACCCCCTCCAATGTTTGGCATCCACAGTTCTTGGGTGTCTAAATTGCACCCTACAGTTCGGCCATCCCACTAGTTTGTCCACACTGGTCCTTTGCTGCTCCATACCTTCAAATGCTGGCACTGCAGGGATTCTCCATTCCAGTTCAGTTTACTACAGGACTTGCTGGTTACTTCCATTCTCATCCTTTATCCACCTACCCTTTTTTTTTAGTACAGACGTCATTGTTATTGTCCAATAGCTTCCATTTTGTCTGCTTTTCCCCCAGGCTAGATAAGTGAGATCGTGTTGCTGTTTTTTATTTTTCCTTTTATTTTTACTTTTAGATTTGTAGCTCTCATGCCACTCCAGCGGAAAACAGCTTGTTTGGAGGTTACTGCATTCCAAGGATTGTGGCTGAGAGATACGTAATGAGGAGTATCTTTTAATTGGCCCAGTAACAGTTCCAAGGGGCTGGCACTGGATTTGATTTTTTTCCCTCTCCTTTTTGCCCTCCGAAGTTGCTCTGGGAAACTATGTAATAATTTTTTTTAATGCAAAGAATTTCCGTCTCTGTACAGCAAAGTGTGGCCGAAGGTTTTTTTCCAGACCTTGGGGGCCTTTATTTTTGCAGCCGCAGTGAGTCCCTGTCTCCCCCCATAACAAATGGTGACACTGAGTGATGGAAAGGCTGTTCCAGAAGCACATCGCGCTCGGTTAATAATCTTAACGGTCCCACTGAACAGCTTGCAATGATAAAGTGGAGAGCACTCAGAGAGAGAGAGGAAGCAGCTAATTAAAATTCAGAAGAGCTTTTGAAATGCTTTGGCTTAAAATGAAACTTATCTCGGCCATGGATAGGGAGGGCGTTGCTAATTAGTAGTACGGTAGCGTGACCGCTGTAGATAAAATTGTAATTGTGCTTATGGCTCATTGCAGAAAAGTGGCGGCTCACCAGTGCTAGTGGACTTGGAAGGTAAAACCAGTGGCCACAAGCCTGTTCGTTATTTGCAGCATTTCACATGCCATGGTGACCGAAGAAAAAAAGAGAAGGGAGGAAGCAAGAGTGTAATGTCTTAAGGGCCCCACAAGCCCAGAATCAGCTACGTTCCCCCACCCATCCCACTGAATCTGTCTCTTCTGGGTTCATTTAGAGCTAGCTAAGGATGGGGACGTGGTGGCGCTGTGGGCTAAACCGCAGAAGCCTGTGCTGCAGGGTCAGAAGACCAAGCGGACCAAGCGGTCGTAAGATCGAATCCATGCGACGGAGTGAGCTCCTGTCGCTTGTCCCAGCTCCCGCCAACCTAGCCATTCAAAAGCATGCAAATGCAAGTAGATCAATAGGGACCACCTCGGTGGGAAAGTAACACGGAATATTGTCTTCGGACAAAAAACGCTGGCTCTATTGCTTGGAAACGGGGATGAGCACCGCCCCCTAGAGTCGAACACGACAAAAATTGTCAAGGGGAACCTTTACCTTTATGGATAGGGCAGCCCCATCAACGACCGTGGGATTTGCTGCAGTTATAGTATAGGTGGATTTGAAGTATTTTTTTTCTGATCACGTGACACAAAGGCTGATTTGAATCGGTCTAACCCTTTTTGATCCCAGCGTGCTTTTTTTTTCTCTGCCACTGGTGGGCTTCTCATTTTTTAAAGCCAGAACAAGTCAAATGGCCTTCCACCCCCCCATGGGATCCGTTGATTCGTACTTGTCAAGGTGAGTGGCATGTCTGTGGGTGGAATTTTAATTTTTTCCATATATGAAACTAGTGCTAGATCAGCTTATCACCCGATCGTTAGAATTTAGATCACCTTCAGATGAGAAAAAAAAATGCAAACAAAACAGAAACAACTCAGACGAAATAACAGACATTCCTGTGATTAGGCGGTATTTCTGTACATGTGAAGAAGAACTTTAGAATACTGTCACTTTTTCTATGACGCTGTACAAGCCTTTCGAAACCAAGTGGCTCGACAGCGATCCATCAAAGGATCAGCAGAAGCAGGACCAGAGGAAGGGAGGAAAACATCGAGTGTGAACACTGAATTCCCCAAGGATCAGCAGAGGCAGGACCAGAGGAAGGGAGGAAAGCATCGAGTGTGAACACTGAATTTACAAGTCAGTCTGATCGCTGACTGCAGTTCAACCATAAGACCAGCTGTGAATCAAATTGTAGCAAAGCTGCATCCGAGCAATTTGGCTGACTGGTGTAGTCAAGGCTACGTCATCAGCATGCCCCCCAACATGCCATCTCTGAACATTAGAGGCAGGACCAGAGGAAGGGAGGAAAGCA